ATTGTCGCGACTCGCGAGAAACTGCCATCGCTCGTCAGAAAAAATAAAAAAAGAAGCAAAAATGAAAAAGCACGAGTATAATAAAAGAGGAAAATACGTGAAATGTTACATAATTTATGCCAGCAGTGCGAGCGGACCTCCATTCCCTACTCTTTTATCCCCAGTATCAGTATTTCAGTGGCAGACAGTGCCTCTCGCAGGACTCGCATAAATATGCAATTTAGTTTAGGCATTTGAATATTTCCTTCACCGCGCGCTGCCTTTCAATCTTTTGATGAGCCAGTCAGGTCGGCAGCAGCTGCGTTTTCCGCTTTTCCACGATTTTCACGTCCTGCGATTCATTGGCAACCTGACACTAATGAAAAAAGCCAAATCGTGTCGAGTGCTGCGAGTTCGAAGCGATTGGAGATAAAATTCAAGCTTTCAACACCAAGCGTAGTTGGTTTTCCTCTTACCAAATACATAAATGTTAGCTTCAAAAAGCAGAAAAAGTAAGTAAAAGTAGTAAAATTCGTGAAATAATTAGTGGGGCCTTTACTCGGTATAGTAAATACGTTTCCAATTTTCGCGTATAATGTCATGACATTTCTAATCGTCGATTATGGTTGCTCAGCTATTTATACCTCAATTTTTTCATGTAATTAATATCCACTAGAAAAAAGGGCCTTTTATCGAAAATCAAATTACTTAAATTGTTTTTAGCCCTACTACATTTTATTCAAGGTATAACATTTAACAAATTACGATTTCTATTAGTCAATAGATAAATAAATAAACAAGGAAATGGAAGAGACTGTATGCCGTTATTAATTCTGTATTCTTATTTCTGGCTTTAAATACTTTGCTGAAAACTGTAAGGATTAAAGAGCGAATGTATTACTTGTTTGCATAAGTTTTTCGTTTTGTATTGGGTTGCCGGTTTGACTAATTTTTTATTTACACCAAACTTTGCGTGCTAATAAATAAAAGAACAGTAGGAAAACACCCCCGTCAAAATACTGCCTACCCTCAAAGTTTTGTAGTTTTCTAAAGCCTTGGCAAATATATGCGTGTTTGCCCCTCCTTGAATAGTGTGTTAGACACGAATACGAATATGTATCTGCTAACAAGAATATACCAATCTGCATTTTTGTAAAATTTAAATAGACAGTATGAGCGAAGCACAACCTGTCATCCGCCTGAAATGCAATCTCAGTCTGAAGTCCCCAGAGGTAAAAGCCTTTCTATTGCATTTCATGTACCAATATTTCATTTTTGCAACCAGTCCACAGTTTCTCGTCTCACATGACTCTTTGGGGGCTATAAATATCGCACACATTTATTTGTTGACATTTATGTATTTTTTATATTTTATTTATTTTTTTGGCACTGCGTACCAATTTATTTATATTAATGTCCCAAGTGATTTCGGTTGCCCATATCAACAGGGTCGCATCTGATGTAAGCACAGCGGGGGACAGTCTTTGGCCTAAGATATGATCTGTTTGTGGGTTTTTTGGCTTTCCTTTTCAATTTTGATAAAGCGATTTGCAGGGTAAGACAAATTGAATGTGGGCTGTAATAGATACTTGAAATTTGCATGTGAAATGATATATTAGAGAATAGTATATATAAATAGTATATATAGATACTATATATTAATTTTATTATTTTTCTTATTATTATTTTGAAATGATTGCAGCTAGTCTTGTCTTATCTATTACCGTTACTTTTAACTTCAAACTTATAGAATACAAATAATAATAACATTAATTTTTAACAAAGTATGTATGTACCAGTTTTTAGAACGATACAAAAAATGTATAATGGGTATCATCTAGTTGTTTGAATACATTTTTTGGATGCCCGTGTCAAGAGCGATTTTCTTTTTTTCCATTTGCTCCTGTTGGCCTGTTTGTGAGCGATGTCTTGTCTGTGCTGGCCATCTCTGAATGCTTTCCAGTCCACAGAAGGCTGTTGAAATATTTTTGCATTATTGTCTGCCTATCTTCCTGTGTGTCCGGTCAGCTATTTTCCTGTTAGACTGTTTTTCTTGTTTTGCCAATTGCTTGGAGCTGACAGTCGGAGGAACCGCAAACTAAATGATAGGCCTAGGTTTTGCTTAATTTTTTTTCCTTTGCTTAGAACATCCTGCAATACGAGGGAATGTGGCATGTAAATTCGTTTTGACATTTTAATTACGCTCGCACCAAAAGCCGGCCTATGTAAGTGCGTACGTGTTAACGTGGCTGACACGTTAATGCATTCCGGCAAGATTAAGCAATCAGAGAGCGCTTGAACTTTGGCATAATTGGAGCAGCCCGACAGGCGAGCTGCCATCGGAGCAGCTTGAAGCTAAAGCACTCAATTTGGGCCATCAGCTAGTGCCTGGATGGCCTGGTTCACTTTCTCCCACCACTTTCACGCACTTGACTCTCATTTAGCGCCGAAACAAGTTACCCACCGAAGTTCCATCTTTCGTTCGTTCGGCCTATCTTAACATTCTAATTTACTTTTATATTATGTTGTGTTGATTGCGTTGCCAGGCTGCGGATCCATTACAGGATGTGTTTGTCCCCTGCCACTCCTGCTGCCTTCGTTCTGGCCCTTATGACAATGATTTTGCTGCCAACGACAAATTGCCGGAAATTGACAACAAATTTCCAGCGTACACACGCACTTATATGGGCCCATAAGATGCCCATTTACTAATTCTTGGGCCCAGTGTTTGTTGAGGTTTCTCTTGGCCTGCTCCTTGGCATATCAATGGGAGAGCTCCAAGTATTGACCGGAATGCGTAATCGAGTCGGGGACAACTTTGAACCTTGTTAAACCCTTTGAAAGTTTTTTGTTAGCCCCCAGAAGCATATAATGCAAACTATTTTAAATATGAATTGGGCTTAAATTCAATTTACTTCAAAAGGTTTACGTGCCGTTATATGCTTTCCTCTAAAGCCATCAAATTTTGCATAATTTACACTTTTTGCTTAAAGGCATTCAAGTTTAATATCCCTTTTTATTTGGCCAGGGATAATTTTGTAAAATTAGCAAATCCTGTAATTAATTGTTAATTGTGTTTTGTCTATTTATCATTATAGAAATAATAATTAAATAAATGTTTACTACAGCTACAGCCTGTTTACCAAACCCTTTCAATACCAAAAATAAATGAATTCTCAATAAAAAGGTTATCTAATAAAGCCAAACTTAACCCTTATTTAAGCCTTTATAAACTTTGTATTGTTCAATACAAACTTTTCAATTTTAAAGCTGGATTATATGGAATATTAAAGCGGATTCTAATGCATTTCCGATATTAAACTGGCTGCAGCTGAAGTTTGGGAATTTGCATATAGAATGAAGGATTCCGAAGCACCCACATCCATCCACTCAACCGCTGTCAGTTGCACTTTTGTTTTAGTCCATAGACCTTGGTTTGTACATATATTAGTGACGGGCCGCATAGAATTCGGGTTCATCAATCACTTATGGAAATCAATACGCTTTCCATTATACGCAGTCCTAAGTGTGGGAACCTATTGTATTTTCATGTTTTTGAATTCCCAAATGAATTGATGACGGGGTCGGTGGCTTCTGCACCTAATTTTTGCTTTCGGTTCTTTTAGTATGATTGGAAGTGTTTAAATATCTCAATTTCTATGTTTACTCAGCCACTATATGTGGTTAGTTGAAACGTGCCTGAAATACAAAAAGTGTAAAATGTCTCAGGGGTTTTCCATTCATATCGAATAGAATTCCCAAACAGTTCCTAACTCAACAGAACTTGCACAGCGCGAGATGTTTCCCAACTTTTCCCACAGAGGGCGTTTTTCCTCTAATTTTTGTAGACTTTTCTTTCGCCTTTCCATCTACGTCATAAGGCCGCAACTGACGTCACAGAAAAGCTTCATTGTTTACACGCAACGCAATGGAATGGAATACATACATAAACATATGTATGTAAGTATGTCTGTGTTCCGTTTCCGCACGTGTCTTTGGCGCCAAATTTGTTGTTTGCCATTCTGTTTTGTTGCTGTCCTTCTACTGGGTTACGGGAACAAAGCCCGTAACTCTCTTTGCAGGAGAGCAGTAGCGGTTTGCTCTTCCTATTCTTTATTTCTTATATAACACGTGTTTTGGCCAGCAGTTGAGGCCCATAACGAACCGCCTACGCACTGATAAAAATAATCGTTTATTGTTACTTAGACTTTTTATGCAGAAGAGTTATATTGAAATTAAATTCTTCATTGGGTTTGTGGCTACGGAATATGCTTAAAAAATATTTTTTTTAGTAAATATTTGTAAAGTTTCTATAATAACTAACTTTGTCACTACGTAGACTGCCGTCCACAGTGATTCTAATCAAACAAAAAACACCTCTGGCAAGGTAAAAATAAAAGTGACGATTGCACCCTCAACTTACAAAAGTTTTGAAATCAAATGTTTCTAAAATATTCTCATTCGGCCCGCTTAAGAAAAATAATCAATCTATTCGCCTACACTTTCAGCGCACTTTCTCCCAAAACAATTGTTGGTAAAGTCCAATCAGTTAAGTTTTAGCAATATCTTTTTTATTTTCGATTTTTATTTCTTCGTGTATATATTTTAAAAAATGTTAACGATTTTTGAGTCGGTATAAAACATTTTATTTATTATCCATTATTTTCTAAGAAATATTTCTGTTCTAGTAAGAAAGTAAAAGTATTATTTGTAATTAAAAGGACATTTAAAGAACAACTTTTAGTTGCACGATTCGAGTGATTCATTTGATAGAACATTAAACTTTATGCAGATTTGACCGGTTGACAACTCTAGTTAACTGCGTCCAGCATTCGGTGCTGCTTAAGAGAGCTCCCCATATAGAAGAGCGCCGCCGAAGAGCGTGCTCGAAGGACCAAGACACAGATGCACGCACACAGGCACACTCGGTGGGTCGTCCTGCTCCTGGTGGTGCGTGACTTTGGACGCCTGCTGGAGCCAGTTACAAAAAGATTGGTAGCAGTGCCTCAGTTCGTTTGTGCTGCCAGTTGGATGCAGAACGCTTCGACGACCGAGCGATATATCCACAGCCGTAGAATCGAGCTGATTATACATAGGCGGTATGGTGTGCGCGACTGACTGTGTCACCTTCGCGAATTAATCAAAGTGTATTTAAACGGCATTATCGTGCTTGCGGTTGCGCTGGGCCCACCAAGGCCACCGCCCACGTGTCGGCCGGATTTGTTGTGTTAATTAGCGAAAAATGTCAGGGCAGCAAAATAAAAAATAAAACAACAACAGCGGGGCTGCAAGGAGTGAAAGTTATTGTGTGTCCTTGGGCCGAAGGGAGAGTAATGATAATATATGAGTACATGGAGGAATAAAAAACGAAATGAATTTCAAGAAAAGCTGTTAAAAATGTGCGAAAACGAAACAAAAGCAGGAAAATACTGCACGAGAAATCGGGAATTCTTCTGAGTGCGTGGCTGCAAACGAGAACTTTGTAGCACACTTTTGTGCGCAGCGTTTGAAGGAACTTCTTTTTTCGCCCAAAATCGATCCGCCCCGTTGTCCCTTGGCTTTGTTTACCAAGCCCAGCGAATTATTTTCAAGTGAACGTTTTTATTTTTACATGCATGCTGGCAGAACTACGCTGTCTTGTTTGCTTATGTGAAAGGCCCTGCAGGTATTTCTCCGTTGTTTGTTGCTGCTGCCTCGGATTCGCCTTGACACATTTCGTTTTGGCCATTGCAAATTGCTCCATGCCACGGCTCATGGGATGCTGCAGTTTATTTTGCTTATCTGTTCTCCCCCGACCATATTTCTTGCCACACCCACCCGCACACACAGATTGTTGTCAGTTCGTGGCTGAAATTTTCAATTAGGTTTTATGACACATTTCGTCGATGCAGTCACACCCCAACCCCCTCAGCCTCTTTTTGTAGTTCGTGGGCCACCCATTTAGTCGAAATTGGCCAAGCAGCGCAAATTTGCATACCAATTAAGTTTATTATATATTTACTTTAACTTTCATTAAGCCACTCGGCGATGCACAGCCCCACTTTTTGTGGCTTGTTTTGGTTAATGGGAGTAAATAGAAACAAAGTTTAATTAGGTTGGCAAAGGTCTCAGCAGTAACAAAACTATTTGAAAACTTTTATAATTTAACTTACTTTTTTTGTTCTCATTGAAATTATTTGCTTTCAATTGGTTTACGGCTAGGTTTTTAAGCATTAAAGTATTTTTCCAATTTTCAATTTTATTAAATTAAGGTGAAACTTAAATTAAATTAAACAAACTTAATTGTGGTTTTCATTAGTTGGAATCTGGTTTCGATCAGAATAATTACGATTTATTGGGATTTATTTTCTGAGTTATTGAACCTTCAATCTTAATACAAGCACACAGATGTTCCCTTTGAATTCATCCAGCCTAAAGAATTTAATCAAATTATAATATAATACATTTTCAAACTTATTTATGTTGCTGACAACCAAATCAGCCTCAGCCATAAATAATCCGGAATTTTCGTTTGGCGAATAAAATAAAACGCAAACGGAAAGAGCAAAAGTGGAACAAAATCGAAAAGCCACAAAACCTAAAATAATAATAAACATAAAAATTACATAAAAAACAAACTCAAATTGGCTTTACCAAAGGCAAGAGTGGCCATAAATGGAGGGGTCGTAAAAGCCCTTTAAGGCTGGCAGCACACATTGCGTATGAGTAATACTTTGCATTTAATTCCTCACTCATTTTCCAGGGGCTGCAGCAGTGATCAGGAAAACAGAAAGATATAGAGGGACGAAGGGTACCCAGTTCAGTGACTGGGTAAGCTGGGAAAATACCTTAAAAAGCTAAAAGTGAAAGCTTAACAAAATTGAGAAAAACCACCAAAAAGGCCAGCAACGAGGGGGAATGCGGCGAAAACTTTTGTGGCTACGTGGCTGGGACCTTTGGCAGTCTTCCCAGGGGCCGGGGCTTAAACGGGATGTAACAGGCTAGGCTAATCCCTGGCTAACGCCCCAGCACCAGTGGAAAGAGGAGGGACTTTGGCCAAGGGCTGGCAAAAGGTCGAGTTAATCTACGGTTATGCCACACTGCAAATTGTGGCCCACAAGGAAAAAAAACAAAAGGCCGGATAGGTTGGATATCTGGGATAGAACTTTTACATACTTTTAGCATGAAATATATATCTTTGAATCATTCAACCGCCTCCATGCAGCCATTGTCATGCATTCCAAATGAATAACTTTGAAACTGAAACAGTGTATCCCAACTTATATTATCAAAGTATCTTTATTCTCCCCAAAAACCGCCTCCAGTTTAACCAATTTATTGTTCTTGCGCCTTCTGAGATTAATTAAAGTTGGCCAATTTCCACTTGTTGTTCTGATGATGATTTTGCTTTGCCCACATTCAGATTGATGGCTTTTTCATTCACTTGGCACTCTGTCAATTCCCAGTGGATGACATCGTCAGGCTCCCCTCGTATAATTGACTAATGAGGCAAAGTTCAAGGTCCAGTAGATGTTATAGATGACATTTTGGCATTTGTGGACATTAGGCCATTTAATGAAAACTTGTGCTTTGTGCTCGTTTGTGGTAAATAGACACAAGCGATAAGCATGCTAATTTTATTTGCCATTCATATTACACATTTGAAAAAGGTCACAAAGGATTTTGAAGCGTACTTTTATTGCTAATTATAATCCTAATTTTTATTGAGTTTTGTTTATATTATAACTTGATTGTTTTGTTTAAACTTTTCGATAAGCCAGAGTGTTTTAAAGATGAATATTAAAATCGTAAAAGATAAATTAAAATATAAAATAGGTTTTTTATTTTATCCTGAGACTCAAATCAATTTTTATTTTATGTAACATTCTTTACATTTCCTTTCCTTTTATTAAACCCAATTCAGACCACTTATTTAAATTATTTTTCTTGGTCATTCTATTATTCCTGGGGCAAGCAGCTTCCAAAAAAAAGGAGCACATAATCCAATCTCTTCCTGGGAAAACATTTCAACTTTCGCCTTAACTTCTGCCCGAAGCATTTGTGGTTGACATTTGTTGTGGGTCCCCCGAAAATCTTAATGCTTATTTTTATCTGATAAGTGATGACGGTAGCGGCAGACAAAAAATGGCTCTAGTTCACAGACTGACTCGATTTCTGGTTGTTTGTTTGTGCTAAACGCATTACACAGGCTACTTATCACGCTGTATTAACCCATACTGTATTTCTCTGGTATTTTTTCCTGATTTGTTGTCGGACACACGCCCACTCAGCGGGGGTCATCGTTTGCTTGTACATTATTTGTCTGTTATATTGCGGAGATATTTTCTCGAAGTCTCCACTTCACATTTCTCGGCATTTTTTAGCAGTTGAGTCACAAGACTTTCGCCATCTTGTTTGTCAGCTTTAGGAAATTTGATTCAGCTTTAAGATTAAAGAAATCGAATTATCTCTACTCAAAAGTCAGCTTCGTTTAGCAACTTTAGTGTTCAAATGTTCATCCAGTTGTGAAAGTTGTCTCTCAACTTTTTCCTTATGCTGGCCAAAAGTTTTGCCTTGAATATCGAGTAACAATATGCGAGTAGATGCAAACCCCGTTAAGTCTTTGGTATACCTATTTGAATCGAAGAACAAACTTGTTTGACTTGCTAATTTAAAGCTCCTTTTAGACAGGTGTGAAAACGACGCGAATGTGTGGTTCTTGGATAACTTTTCCTCTCATATCGAGAGGCAAACAGAAGAGATGGCAAGGCAAAGTCGGAATAAAAATTCAATTTCCCGACCACAAAAAAGTTCAACTTTGTTCTGCAGCCACAAATCAATTTTCAACTTGGCCGAGGAAACTGACAAAAAAGAAAAAAAATGGGGAAAGGAAAAACAAAACTCTTTTATGGATGTGGGCCAAAAATTAGAGAAAAGGGTTATACCATAGTGAAGACAAAAAGCGAAATAAATTGAAATCAAAAGAAAATGAATAAAAAGCTGGAGAAAAAGCTTTGAGATCTGTTTTATCTCTTTTAAAATTTAAAGTGAAATTTATTCCTGTAATTATTTAAATAAAGTCACTAAAAATGTTTAAATCGGATTTAAGCATTTTATAGATATGTGTTTAACTTGACTGCAGCATAAGCTGTTTATAACCAGCACCTCATATTTAGTTTTGAAAACTCAACGAAGTTATCCGACATCCATATTATTCACAAAATAAAGTATTGTTGTATAAATACTTACTAAACATCGTTGCAATCCTTTTTACATCCTCTGACCTTCCTTCCCAAACCATTTAAATGCCAAAAAAGGTCATGCTTTGTGCTAAAATTGAGTTCAAAGCGCTGCTGATGAGGGTAAGATACTGCTGACAACTTTTGGCCAGTTCTCTATGAGGGGGAATATTCATTTCACATGCAAATCGGTTGGATGGGGCTATGTAAACGAGTAGATCGCACACGCTCCTTTTGGTAGTCTTAAGAAAAATGTCAGCCAAGGATAATCCGCTCTTGAAAAGAGGTTTCACCTACGCTTTAAAGGAATTTTCTTATAACGAGTGCCTTAACTGGTTGCCCAGATGTCGGCATTTATTATGGGCTCATGTCTGGGCTTTGCTTTGTTCTTCCCCCATTTAATTTATGGCCAACACATGCTAGGCCAACACATTTTTTATTGTGTCCGCTCCCCAAACAGCCTCCTGCTAACAATTCCCGCATGTTTACAGAACTTCTGTTTGTCAGCCATTTTGAAAGACATTTCCTTTTCGGCCCCAACAATAAATGTTCTCTGTGGTGATATAAAAAGGAAGGAACTATTGTCACATGTTTCACTTTTTCATTTTTTCCGCCTCTTTTCCCGTTTTCCGGACTCGGGGTGAGAAAGTTCATTAATTGATAAGGCGGCAACTTTGCTCATGTGCGTCGGATATCTGACCAGGGAATTGTTCTGGGGTCAGTTCCAGTTAATAAAGGCCAAAAGCCTATTTTCAGACATATATTATGTATGTGCATATATAGTGGTACGTAGGAATATGAACTTTCACTACTACAGGATAGCTTTAAGTTTAATTGGGTCCTAATAAGAGTGATGTTTTTTACTTGGACATTGTTGTATAATATTGAAGACTTAGTGACTTAAAATTATTTGCTAATGTACCCAGAACAATTTTGAGTGGCAATATTATAAGCGATTTAAAATCATTAAGATTGAGAAAAAAAATATGCAGGATAGATTCATTTATTTTTGGTAGTTTGAATATAACTTTTTTTCCTTTTTTTAGTGAACAACTTTTAGATTCTTATTTGCCTTGGCTGGCACCCAAAAAGTATGCCATATAAAATACATTTGTTATCGTGACCTTGACAAGTGTCGCACAAAAATGTCTCCCCGTCAAATCCGGTCTCCTCGATATTGCTTGACTGTAGGCCATTTAATGTCTTAGTTATATGCAACTTTAGCTGGAAATCGCGTGCACAACTTAGGTTTTGGTTAAGAGGAAGTGGGCGTGGCTCCAGTTTAGCACCCTTTACATTTGTTAATTGTGGCACTTAGTTCGCCAAGTTATTGTGTAGCATGCAAATGGCCTTGGGGAGCTTTTCAACACACTTTGGCCAAGAAATTCTTTCAATTTCAGTTGGGCACAAAACATAAAACTCAAGTAGCCGAAAAGAGTACAATAAAATGGTTGTTTATATAGCATAAAGTGGGCGAAAACATAATTTTGCAGTAAAAGCAAACAGCTGAGGACCCTTAAAGGGGAGTGTCCCCGAAAAAGGCTAAAAAATATTTAATTTTGTTCATTTCTCGTTCGTGTCATCTGGCCAAACTGCAGCTTTTTGTTTCGGGGTGTGCGTGGGTGTGTCTCCTTGCGAAATTTATTTTTCATTATGCTGATGAGAAGCGCTGTTCGCCACGCCTCGAACTCATTTCAGCTCGAAAAGGGTCTGAAAACTGACTTATTTTCGGGACACATAATGAAGGAATGTGATTAATTATACTGACTACAGATAGCAAGTGAACTATTAAAAACAAGAAATTAAGCTCATTTCTTTACTTTCATTAGATGTTTTTGTTTTTCATTGAAACAAATATTACAAATCCACACAAAAAAAAAACACGCCGGGATTATCGATATGCGCATAGTAAAATTCTGGTCTTTTTAACGCATACTGATAAAATTGATATTAAATAATATCATTTAGCCGAACTTTCCCTCTCGGATAACTAACGTGAGTGGTAGAAAGAGAATTACAAATTCTCTCATAAAAATAGATCGAAATAGTCCCTAAAGTTACATGCGTGGGAGGAAGAAAGACACATTCGAAATTCGAACTGGTTTGTTGCTTACATTTTAAGCATTTCAAATTGAGAAGCTGGAAATCAAAATTGAAGTTCGTTTCATATCAAGTGTTTTCGGGTGCAACTTGGTAATAATGAAAATATACAACATTACTAACAAGGCAAACAAAAATTTTTTAGTGTTGTATATAAGGAGGACTCCATATTAAAAATATTAAAAATACCATTTTCTGTTTGAAAGGTTCAATATCTCGTTATTTACATAATGTCCAAGCTTTTTGTAAGAGATATTCAAGGATTTTGATTGATTGAAACGCTGCCTGATTGATTGTCTTGGTATTTGAACCTTAAACTTTGCAAATTTTTGCGTGCTGCATGTCTGGTGCAGTCAATTAAGCAGCCAGCGAGTGTGAGGCAGCGGAGAGGTCAGCGGGTCATCCATTTATCACTGTCACTTAGTTCCAGAAAACGGCGATGTGGCTAAAGACGCGAGCGGGATCGAACGATAGAGAACGAGAGAGACAGTCAATTGTTTGGGCTGAATGTGCTTAATGAAGTGTCGGATATGTCATGAGCACAGACAATAAACAAGCCTTCGCAGTCCGCAGCAGAGCGTGTTCGGTGCAGATGCATCTGTGAGATACAAGAAATGCTCGGGAAAAGTAAAAAGTGACAGTGCGCCAGTGTGCCAGTGAAAAACCAGCAAAATTATGTAGGCCTGGTCGGAATTGCAGACCTGGTCAGTATCGTACACATATCCCGAATCGTCCCTCGTGTTGAAGGAAATGAGCCAGAACCTCCAAGTGAGCTACACCGCTTTGGGCATGTCGGACGATAATCAAACCTGCAGCTACTCGATGCCCTCGGTGGCGTCGCCCACCCACAACCACCGCCTGCAGCGCAATGTCAACTTCAACGAGGACCTCAACGACCTGGCCGGCTATCCCCCGCAGCAGCTCCCCCCCGCTCCGGCGGTCCGTCGCTTTTCCAAGTCCATTTTCCAGCGACCGCGCTCGATGTCCGTTTGGAGTGACATCAGTCGCAGCAGTATGCGCCTGGATGAAAGGTGAGTGACGGCCCGAATTGGGCTTCGGGTATCGGGGATTGGGGTTTGTACACTGCGGGAACTCATTTCAATAGTTAAATAATTTTATGAAAACTCACTTAAACAATTCATTAATTTTATAAGAGCTCATTAAAATGTAATTACCTTGATTGAAAATATGAAAAAAGCACCCTTGTTTTTTATAGCAAAACCGGGAGCTTTGAAATTCAATTACAAGAGAATCATGGCCGACAGTTAAGTTCTTTATGCACGTAAATTCTTAAGAAATCGCGTTCCATGATAATTTTTTCGCGAATTTCGGGGATGAGTCCGCTAATCTAGAGTTTTACCGGTTTTTCTTGTGGATACTGATAAAGTATTAATATTGAGTTAGCTTTAAAAAGTTTTGGAAACAAATTAAATTAGCTCGTTCTAAATTGTATTAAAGGGTGTTTAAAGACGGTATTAGTATTGCAGGGAAGGAGATTTTTCCGATTTGAATTCTTGAACAGATTCACTAGACGAGTGAGAAATAGATCAACATTTTATTTTTTTCAAGATATTTGCATATATTTTGTTGCATATTATTTCATGTTTTGTATTTTTATATTGAATTGTATTGTATTTTTCTAGTCACATTTAAATTCGAGAAATCTGCAAGGGTATGAGAACCTCGGCTTGCCGAAGACAGCATCCGTTCTTGTTATACCCTTGCAGAGGGTATTATAATTTCAGTCATTACAAAGTTTTCATTACAAAAGTGTTAAATTGAAGCAATTTAAGCTGTTTTCGACCAATTTTTATTTTTTAGTACTTTTTTTCTTTAGGACATATTGTGGGTCTTGTGACCCCAATACATTCTTATTGGCAGTGTATTTTCTATTCTACTAATTTCCATTCAATTAAAAAATTGTACTTTAACATATAATGGGTTTTGTACGTTTTTAATGAAACTTATTTTGCTACAATATTTTCTCTGTGTGAACCAGAGGTTCCAAAGCAATTTGCGACATGTGGTGTGGTCGCCAGTTGTTTTTGTGTGGCCTTCCTTCAGGCGAATTTATGTGTTTTCTGTATTCTTAGGCTGATTGCGTGCGTTGAAATCTACATAAATATTTGCTTCTATCCGGCTAAAGACCTGACAAAGGAGAATATTCCCTGTGCGATTCCTTTGTGGATACGTGACAGAGAAGTGTTATAAGCCCCATCTGATTACAGCTAATCCATCAAGGACGCAAAATCGATTGAAAGTAGGCATTGATTTTATAAGAGATGCTTATCAAATTGTTCCCTCATAATGGTATTTGTATCTTTATTTTTATGTTATGTTATGTTCCTTAAAGAAAATCTTATATATCTAAAACACAGAATTTTGTTAAAATCATAAATATTTATGTATTAATGTCTCCTGAGAGTTATTTGAGCTTATTGTTTTTTTATTATCACAGATTTAAGCTCATTAAATCGCGCTGTTCTATATTAGCACATTTCATCTAAGCACACAATTATGCATAATTGTTTTCCATAAATCTCGCAAATATGCGCAAATTAAATTCGAGCACCATGTGCCGCTGCCATTAAATTCATCGCTTTAATATCTGTGAAAAGCTTGAATCAACTTTGACACCCACTCAGATTCGTTTATGCTTGAGAGGACCGCCTCGGGGTCAGTTTAATTTAGTTTTAGCACTTTGACTTTTATTATCCTGTTATACAGTGCTATCTGTGATTATTGTATCCTTTCCCAAAAACGGCTATAATGGGATTTAGATATGGGTGTGGGAACTCTGCTGACTTAACTATACTTATCATACTAATTCGAAGCTAATGAAAATAGATTCCTCTCTCAACCAAAAACCGATCCGATTTGTACTGCACACCAAAAAAACACGCCTGGATTAAAACGATGGTAAATTTATGGTATTTAGACGAGAGTGTGAGCGAGAAGAATTTATTTTCTCAATTTGAAATAGAGCGGGATATCACTTAAATTTACATTAGTGGGAAGGAGAAAGACACATTCATAATTAGAAAAGGCCTACTTGGAACATGTTGCTTACAATTCGAGCATGTCGAATTGATATGTTGCATATCAAGTGAAAATTGATATCAAGTTTTCATATCAAGTTTTTCTGGGTGTAAGTAATGTTCAATTCCAACTGTGAATTGGCTGGGAAAAGTAACCATGATTCTTACAAGTCCATGCAACAATTGTTAAATTCTGTGGTCGGACTTTATTTGTAATTTATGTGCTTCAGTTTGATAAGCAGGATGTGGCACGTAGCTGCCAGCCGGAAATTTGCCTCAGAAATTTTTGAATGAAATATGAGTGGCACGATTGGGTGAGAAAGGAGTGGTAGCCGCCATTCAAGTCAACAAGTCGGAGTGGCCGTGAGTTAGCTGTGCAAACTTTTGCGGCTTTCCTTTCGCCTGCAGCTCAGCCGAGGTACGTCATCAGCCCCGGTGTATGCCAATTAGTGTAAATAACTCAATTATGCTCGGTTCTACCGTCTTCTTGTCGGTGTGTGGATATCGACACCTCTTTGATTGGTGATTACAGCAATGGGTGTCAGCCATCCTGGCAATTGGCTTGTCAGACCTCTGCACGCTGCCACCCCAGTCGCCAGATATAACCATTAATTAGGACCGTTCTCACAATGGATTCCACCCTATTTAATGTGTGAGCGCGTAATTGAAATGAATGATTATCGCCCGGCTAAAGAGAACTGGGGGAGTGGAACGCTAGATAGAGGTTAACGGCATTTTAACGGTGTTTCGTGGTTGTGATCTTAACTATGCGGAGCGTCTAGCCAGGGCTCTTCTGTATCGCTTAAGCCATTTTATTGCTATAAGCATACACCACTTTACCTCTTCCAAAAAAGAAAAATCCTTCAACAATGGCCCATAAAAGTCGAGACAGAAACGCCACCAGCACAAGCTCATATATCAAGAGCTATTGAAGAACATTAAGAGCTTTAGTTTCTAGCCACACCCACAGAACGGTAGTTTGCACGGAAAAAAATATTTCGATCAGAAGTAAATGTATAACAAAATATTTTTATTAAGTTATTTTATTTTTGTTATTTACATCTTTCTTTAAAAGTCGTTAACATTTATGATTGGAAAATATATGGTTGGAAAGGGGAAATACTTTTATAAAAGAATACAAATATTAAATGTAGTTAAATAACAGTTTCCCTTATGAATCCAAATGTTAAAGAATTATTATTTCAAAACTATGTGATATAATATTGTTATTTCTTGCAGTATTAAATTTATTGTGCCTTCATAAATTTTTCTCTTCTCTCTTTCAGGTGAGTGAAAGTGTCTAAATTAACGTAAGATTTTCTCCTTTCCTTGACTGCGGTAAGTAAAAGTAATAAGATATGTGGGTGGAAAATAGACTTTATCATGTGTAAACTCGGTTGCTTGTCTGCGAGGAGCCCAAGAAGTTGCTCCTTGACAGGCGTCCTATTAATAATGTTTTATCTGGGAAAGAACACCTTTGTCTGTTGTTTGTTGTTCCACGGGAAATTCCTCAAAGGAATTTGTGAAATTTGCAAATGACTTCTCGCATTCCGAAGTGGTCTTTGCTTTTGTCGGCCGCATTTCATTTTCCCCGCACATACTCATAAGACAATCATAAAAAATGCCGCAAATCATCGCGGTCGAAGGACGAACCGCCCCCTTGGGTCCTGCAGGTGTATATCTCCTGATTCCCCGGCATCCTGGCGAGCATTTCGCTATGTCTGTCATGCGTCCTGTGTTATGTTTAATGTTTTTGCATTGTTTATGTAATGTTTATGCCTTGCCTCGTGTGCGTGCCTTCTAATTGTGTTTTACCTGCCAGTTGGATACCCAGCACTTGTGATGCTCTGGGATATATGGTGTCAGTCCCGATGTATGTAACAGGCATTGATATCCGTGGCCTGGCTGATGTATAACGATACGTTCGCGGGGTTTAATCTTCTCGGTCCCTTTGCAATTTCATTTTTCCACAGCATATGTGTGGGATTTCCGCAGAAATGAAAATATTGATACTGACATTTTTAATCGTTCGCAGTAAAAGATAATTACACTGGGAGCAGTCAACCTTATGCACAAAATAATAGCGATAGCTCTAGTGATTTAAAACAATTTGTAAGGGTTGATTATTTTAATTTAAATATAAATAAATATTAATAAATAAACAATGAATAACATAAGGTATTTGGAAGTCGAAAGACAATACGAAACCGTATTTTCTACTCATGTTTACCAACTCAGTCTAAATTTGAATTATGTCAGTGGGTTGTTTCTTTGCCCAAGAAACAAAGTGAAATAACCTGAAGAATAACTACATGTGTACTTTTAAAGATCGTAAAACTTACTAAGCTGTGTGACTTTATTGCTGATGAATTCTGCGACAAATATGAATAATGCATCCAATTTCGCAGTTCATATGATTATAAAGCAGACAAATTCCATTGCTTCGGATTTATGGACTTGGCAATTCAGAAAACTAGTTCGCATTGCGTTGGCTCTGCAAGCAAACTCAATAAATCGAGAGCGCGTTGCCTTGCCCAACAACTTAATAACATTTTCCAAGCACACTCCGTCGGAAAACCCTTCTCGGCGACCGTTAAGCGATTCGCTATTCATAGCCACAAGGATAAAACCATTCAGAAGAAATGGTTAAAGTGCTTTGCAGCATGCTTTCCGGCGGGCGTCATTGCGCGCATTACGTATACGCCTCGTTGCGTCATAAGGTTTTATTAGAAAATTAATGCAACAAGTCCCAAGAACGGGAAATTTAAGCATCGCCTAGATTTTTAAATTAATTTACCACATTTAGCGCGTGCGTGTGTTAAATTCATTAATCTGAATTCAACAGGAAGCCAGCAGAAATGGGGCAACATTAACGGCCACGACAATTTGCTTTCACTGAAATTGCCAATTAGGCAAGAGGGCAGTTGCAAATGCAGCACCAGTGAAGGCCATCGGAGGTCAACTGGGGCCATGCTGGCCAGGAAAAGCTGGGA